AATTGTTTAGTGAAGTTGTGTAAAATCTTTGTGCTTCAGTAACAGCAGATCAGATGCATTATACTGCAATGTATTTAGTAAATTAATTAATATATATTAAGTGCATCAAAATGTCTATGTTTTTCTATTTTATTTTTTAAACGTAGGTAATGAAGGCAAAATATTCAGCCTATCAATATAAGCATTAAAATAATATTTATGTGATTTGTAACTGTGTTCCAGTGGTACATTTTTTATAATCAAAGGGATTATGGGAATCTATAGATATATACATAGAAAATAGACAAAGTCACATACACAAACATATATACAAATAGATACACAAGCAACACATACAATCAGTTTGTTTTAATTTCAATGTTATAATTTTAGTAGTATATTTCAGTTCTTAATGATTTTCATTAGATTGATCCAAACGAAATAAGATGTATCATACTTCTAAAAGTGTTAAAAGTTTTGCCTTGATTTGACCGTTATCATATTATTCAACTTATTCTACATTGTTAATACATGCTTTTTAATAAAGTTGAAATACATTGTAAATTGTTCTTTTTTACTTTTAAATAATACCAAAATTGAATATTTATCTCAATATGTGAAATTGTTATACTGTGTATCTTAGATACACAGTATAACAATTTATACTGTGAGAGCTAAATGCCCCCTTTTAACTTTTTAAAAATAAAAACTTTTTTGTTTATGGTACTGTTCTAGTTTCATAATTTAAAAAAAGTATCCCAATGCAAAGATACTATTATAATGTATAGGTAATGATAGAAGAAACCAGTGATATTTTATCTTGATCAGAGAATGCTACTGCCTTGGTTTAATGTTTTTCTTATGTTTGGGGAAACAATTGGTAAGAAATGAAAGTTGCCATTTTCCACAGGTTTATTTAAATAGCACAATTATTCTGTTAAAATACCTGTGTCCTGTTTAGCTTTTAAAAAAGTTTTAAACTTTTATCTGCTAGAGTAACTAAAAGGACAATAAGTAAATTAATAATTCTATAAAATCCTCCCTTTTATGCCTTGAACTGTCACCTGAAAAATGATTTGTTTACATGGAGGAATGTACAAATGAATTCAAAATTTTTCATGATCTCTAGTAATATATATATATAAAAAAAACCTCCACACCTCTACTGATTTTGTTCATGTAGTGCTTGTTCACTGATGGCTCTAATGCAAGGTCTTCAAACTTGGCAAGTTTAAGACTTGTGGACTTCAACTCCCAGAATTCCTGAGCTAACATGACTGGAGGAGGAATTCTGGGAGTTGAAGTCCAAAAGTCTTAAAGCTGTCAAATTTGAAGACCCCTGCTCTAATGTAAAAACAAGTAACTATAGTACCCAGCATACTTACGAGAATAATGGTTACAGAAGATGTGATGGGAACATGTTTTTGTTCTGTACAACCATTTGATATATGCAGGGTTATAGAAAGTTTCATAGGACATTTACAGGTTTCAGGTGCTCAAATTCACATTATTCCTGTTGAAATTATATGTTTGTAAACATGCTTCAGCTTTTAAAAAGTTGAGACATAGGATGTTCTGTGGAGATACTAGAAGCATCTCTAATTTATATGATCTCACTTCTCCTTTTGGTGTTAAATTTTTGTGCTGTTGTGTATCTTACTTGTGAGAATTGAATTACTGGTTAATTATTCATTAATCATGAGGTTTATGAATGAATAGATACTATGCAATGGGAAAAATACTTTATTAGCAGGGAGCCTTATTCTATGGATCTGGTTCGTGGCATCCCCCAAAACAACAATTAAAACATCAGTCTTTTCAAGTGAAATTTCACAAACTCCTCCCATCCTTGATTTTGATTTGCTAGATCTCGTACTTGCCTTGTTTTGAGAAAGGGGGAAACTAGAAAGAGATAAAGGACTGATTTTTCTTTCTTATTGTCTCTGTAAAAATGTTTCTTGGTACAACTGTTAAAAAAATTGTCTTGATTGAGGATAAACCTGTCAGTGCTTTATTCTCACTTCCTAATAGGGAAATATATAAGAAGTAATTCCTAGTGGTTTATAAGCAAGATTTATCAATTATCACTTTAAAAGTTGGTTTCAGGAGTAACAGACCAGGTCCAGAAGTGAAGGTTTAGTTAAGCTGATTTATTGCTAAAAGCTTATGAACAGGAATTGTCTCAACTAATAGTCAGTACCTGGCTAGAGTTAGATCAGGGTCAGTGGCATTCAAGGAGAGTTGTACTTACAGCTGTGTGAAAAAGTCCTGCATGCTTTATGCTTTACGGTTTATGACATTTTTTGGATAGACCATTGATTATATGATATTTTATACTAACTGCTATGCAAATATTATATTTAAATAAATACTGGTGGTTTTTAAGTAAAAGCATAGGCTTTTTGCAATTTGGTGCTGTTTGGATGGGGATTGTGAATTTTCTTGCATGCTTACAATGACTATGAAAACAGATTAACTGATGCATACCCAGTGGCATACATGTTGCAATTACTAAGGCCGATGCTAGTGTTTTGTTAACATTTTTATTGTTTGTGGCCCTGAAAAGGACCGTTAGGTAACCAAACATGGTTACTAATAGCCCTTATTGCTTATCACCAGGCAGCATCACTTCTGCATAGACTGTATAAGCCTTTGCATGTGATCTTTGGTTAAAGTGTGGTGCCAGCCTGCAATAATGGATTCAATCAGCTCCTGCTTGGTCTTTGGCTGCTTCTTACTTATTTCATAACCAAGTTCTCAATTGGGTTCAAATCCAGGCTCTGAGCTGGCCAATCCAGGAGTCGAACACCATGCTTCTTCATCCACTGCTGGACAGACTTGGCTCGATGACAAGGAGCGTTGTCATCCTGGAAGTAAAAGTCCTTCCCTACAAGTTGTTCAGCTGAAGGAAGCATGGTCTTTTCCAGGACTTCAACATACTGCTTGGGATTCATGATTCCCTGCACAATTTGTATCCGACCAATACCAGAAGCAGTGATACAGCCCTTGATCATCACGTGCAATGGATGCTTCACAGATAGATTCAGACAGTACGGCTTAAATTCTTCAGCTGGAATCTTCTGACATACTTATTGCACTGATTCGCAGTCAAGTAGAAGTTGTTCTTGTCACTGAAGATGACCTTGGCCCACTATTTGTTGGTCCACTTGGCATACTGTACAGTCTATGCTGAAGCGATGCCGCCTGTTGATAAGCAATAAGGGCTGGACAATTTCATTTTAGTAACCAAGTTTGGTTACCTAAATGGTCCTTTTCAGGGCCGCAAACAATAAAAATGTTAACAAAACACTAGCATCGGCCTTAGTAACTGCAACATGTATGCCACTGGGTATGCATCAGTTAAACTGTTTCATAGTCATTGTAAGCATGCATTGTAAGCATGGAAGAAAATTCACAATCCCCATCCAAACAGCACCAAATTGCAAAAAGCGTATGCTTTTCACTTAAAAACCACCAGTATTCATTTAAATATAACAATATTTGCATAGCAGTTAGCATAAAATATTATAAATTCAATGGCCTATCCAAAAAATTTCATAAACCGTAAACCATAAAGCGTGCAGGATTTTTTCACACACCTGTAGTTCTTTTGTGGCTAAGTAAGAGTTCTAGGCTGATCCCCCTTTTCACTCTGCTTCCAGATTCTGCCATTCCTCCTTCTATATTTGTTTAAGTATGGAGTATGGGCAGATCCTCATGGCAGAGTATGATACTTCTAGAAGTACAGGAATGTCTTTCTGTTTGTTGCACTTGTGCAACTTTGACAACTACTTTGAAGCATTTAAAGTTTTGTTGATCACAAAAGTGAAAATTATGATTGCCTTTTTTGCCCCTAAATCCACTAAGCTATAAAGTGCAGTCCTTAGCATACTATTTAAATACTGCCTCCTTTGTTTAATGGGAATTAGTTTCTGCTAAGTGTTCTTCACTGTTTTGGACTGCATTTGGTAGTAACTTGTTTGTAAAGTATATATATGTTTTTTCAAATTGAAAAGTGCTTATAATTTCAGTCATTTTAATGGTTTCAAAGCAATAAGGTGATATCTTTTTTAGCAATTCTATTCTGAAAAATAATAGTATTACATCTGACCATTACACTTCTGAATTAAGTTTTCAAATGCCGTAAATTAATTGAGAGTAATGTAGTCAAGGTGAGAAGATGTTTTTAATACACTGGATTAAGCAAAGATTTTGTCAGGCTTAGAACTGGCAGAATTCAGTTTAAGTCGTTGAGGGTTCATCTTTTCCTGCTTGAGTGAAATCCCATAAAAATTGTTAGCAGGATGGATAAATGGATAGACGGATGGATGGATGGATGGATGGATGGATGGATGGATGGATGGATACAGAGTTCCAGTAAGTCAAGCTGGCTATCTGCAAAAATCTATTCCTTATTATGAGGTTCAGGGCAGAGCTGTGATTTTGGTGTGACCTTTATTATATAGAAAACATACTTGGAAGCAGAGCTGTTTTTCTTGTATGGGAAAAATAAGCTTTCTTGTGTATAAAAAATAGGAAGTTACTAAACAATAAGCAGGTTGTCCTGAGGACAGAGAACAACTAAGAAAATATGACTTGGTTACAACTGAAATGGGATCTTTTGACCCCGTAGCATTTTTGTGATGTAAGGAGCCAGGAGCATTTGTGAGACATCTGTTGTCTACCTGCCCTTATTTTGTAAATGGTTTTAAAAGATTAAACAATTAGTGTGAGCACATGGACATCAAGAAGCAAAATCCTTATATTCCCAGTGTGATTTAGAAATGTGGGCAATTCTTTGTGTCAGCAATATTTTGAAATTTCTCATCTTAATTTCACTATAAAGAAAAACCTGCAGATGCATTTTACTGTGCTTTTAAACTTCTATTAACAGGATACTTGATAACTGTATTGGATTGACTAGATCAAATTTTAATTTAATATGTCAGAGATATCTTTTAAGATTTTCCTTTGCATATTTCAAATTTCAATAAAATTTCAATAATTCTGTGTTTTGGCAGGCATTAGCTGGATCTTCCTTTGGCCTTCCTCCCTCACATGTCTATGGCAATAGATTAAATTCTAACTCAACAATGGCATCACATACTACCCAAGCTGAAAACATTCAGTTAGGCAAGTTAATTTTCTTTTAATAGTATATGTATTTCTTAAAAAATATTTCTTTTTATTTATTTGCATGCTCAACTGCTAGCTGCATTTTACATACAAATAATGTTTTACACCAAAGTGTATGTGAAATGTAAATGTTTAAGCAGAGCAATGAGCAGGCAGGAATGCAACAATGTCTCTTGTGACTTTTTGTGATTGATGTGTTCAGTTGCTTTAGTTCTATGCAATGAAAGTAGCATTGGGTTTTTGTTGTGAATTGTTCAAATCTTTATTTGCATAATTTATGGAATTACATGATCACCCAGCTGGTATATAGCTGAGATCCAGATACATAAATTCACCAGTAACTGAATGAATACTAGTTGGTCTTTTTCATAGTACTAGTTTTTTAAAAAATTAATGAGCTCCTGGATTTGCTTTGTTTCATTCTATCTTTAAGGATTTGTTGACATGTCCTAATAGTCATGCCTATCTGGGGGAAGGGAATGAGTTTAGCAGTTTACCAAGAATGGATCAGTCATGTCTTGCCCTCTAAAAGGCCAAGGGTCATTTGCTGCAGAATAGGGGGAGGGTTGCCTTGAAAGGGGCAGATAGGGTTATTTTATTGAGAGGCCATAGGGAAAAATAACCCTTTTGAGTCATGCCATGCAAGACATTTCAGTATATTTAACAAAATGTTTTTTTTAATCTTTTAATCTCTTGTTTTTTTCTTTTTACATAAAATTGGAGATTACTAAATACTTACTCTTGCTTTAATAGAAGAGAAAGTTTCCTAGCATTTGTTGCTAAAATTTTGTGAGAAAAAGTTACTGGTAGAAGTGACTATGGAGTATGGTTTGTGAATTTTCCTGGGATGCAAAGTGTTAAAAAATACAAAGCCTGAGGATTTGCTGTGATAAGCATACAGATTAGCTGTCCGCAGCTGTGATTCATTACTTTCACTGCAGAAATTAAAAGTGGCTGAGGGGAGGGTACTAGAAATACAAACCATGCTTGTGTGCTGTAAAACTGAAAGCAAAGAAAAGACTAAGGCTAATCCATGGCCTGCTTCACCCACAGAAATTTGTACGGAGAATACTTTATGCATTGCAGTTAGCAGCTTTAAAATAGAAGTTCCCTCTGATATTGCTTCTGGAATAATTGCTAATAGTGAAGGACATTTTGAAATTATCTCAGTCTGCAACATTTTAAAATCTTAATTCAGAAAAAGTCACTTTTGGCTGTAAAATATTTGCTGTGTAGATCAAGATATTGGAGACAATAGCCGGAGCCTGGTTGGAAGGGGAGGTTCACCCAAAGGAAGTATTTCACCACGGTAAGCAAAATTTACAATCATTTAAGGAAAAAAAATATTTTTAAACTACATAAACTTGTATAAGGTGTCCTTTTAAGTTGAATAAAATTATGTAGATATGTTCAGTTGGAGTAAGAATTTTTTTTAGATTACTTTAAATAACATAATAAAGCTATGTCTTTTTCTCATGCATATAAATTATTGAAGAATTAGGTACATTTTTTACATTATATTGTCTCATTTATATAGTTAATTTTACAGAAAAGCAATTTTCACATGGATGCTATAAGAATATTAAATGCAAGTATTTTTATCTGTTTAGAGTGTAACCACACTAAAGAAAGGGAAGAATCTTGTATAAGTAATGAAATAAATATTTTTTAAAATTTAAAACAACCAGGATTCAAATCAGTTGTTGATAGGTCACTAGCATAAAACCATGGGTACTGCATAGTTTGAGTGTGGAAGGTTTTCTAATAATTATTGGGTATCATTTTAAAACTTTCATTTTAATGTATAATTACATTTCTATTTTAGTCTGCAAATAGTTAAAGCATGGGTAATAAACTTAAAAAAGAATGGCAGTGTGCCACTTTAGCTTATAAATTGCTATGTCATGGATAAAGAGTGTGTTAGTGATCTGTGGTCAGATTTTCAAGAACCTGGGGATCTCAAAAATTGACTGAAAAATATATCCACTCTGCAAATTAGGCCAATGATCATCTTAGGAACAAATCCTTTAAAATCTTTTGAAGCTGAGTGTGATTGACTGCTAATTAAAGTGTTGTAGAAATTTACCTCTACTTACTGAAATATAAAGTTATATAAGAAAGTAGATCTCTACGTTAAAATGGTTTAGTTTGAACGGCTTTTATACATTATTACCAGTTCCTAGTAACTCATTTAAAATTAAATTAAATTGAGGATTAATATTTCTTTGTTCTTCATGCTCCTTCTCAAATTTGTTAAAATCTTAATTTTAAAGTAAGCCCTGTGAACAATGTTTAAGACAGTTAACTTTTTATTTTAGCTTTTGAGAAGGATTTTTCCCACTGTTTTAAAGCTGTTAAGTAGATAAGAGAATTAAGGAATCAGAATCAAGGCATAATACAGAGAAAAATTATTTTGTTGTCCTTTGGATTTTGTCAATTATAAAATAAAATAAATATACATGGATTGAAATAGCACAGAACTGCCAAATTTATATACACTGCTAGTATTAATATAAGCATACTACTTAATAAACATGTTTATCGATATATAGAGGAAGAATTTAGAAGAGACATAGTACTATAGAATGTATGTAAAGATTTTTATTCCTCAAATGAGGCAGAAGTAATCTAAGACAGAAGTACATGTATCAGAAAGGTACATATTAAACATAGCAGAATCCTCTTTATTTTAATCATATTCACCTACTTTTAATATAAAAGCTGTCAGAATTATATCTAGCTAGTGACCTTCAGTGAATCTAGTACCAAAAATCCAGCAAAGGCTAAGACTGTTTTTCAGAAGAATTATTCAAGAAATACATAGGTATGGGTGATTTGTTCTCTGTCACTTTTTCCTTATACATACACATAGCCAAGTATCCAAGAGATTTTAGTTTTACTGCATTCTCTTATACATCTGTAGCTATATAATCTCCAAGTATTTCCATAAAGTTTATACTAGGATTCAGCAATGCATTCAGGGCAACAAATGATATTGTGTAGCAGTACTGCTTGAAGAATACAATACCTTTTGAAAATATGTCAGTAATTTGCTAGCCATTGGCTAATAAAATCCATAAATATTTTATCTTAATTTAATAATTGTATAATTCAGTACAGTATATTATCTCATTCTAGATATGGATGATGTGGTTGATTAACCATATGGAAGAGCAATTTACTGTTGGATGAATTCTGATATTAAAGAGAAGAATGATTGCTTAACACTGTAATTTGAGTGCATGCCAAAATAAAACAAAACAAAAAAACAACTGGTGAGGGGTTATGATCTATTTGAAATTTTAATCCTAAAAACTAAGAAAAGAATGGTTCTTTTTAGTAACAGAGATAATTCTAGTACATATACTACAACATTAAATCATGATTTAAGTACATTTGTATCATATATGAATATCATTTATCCATCATTCCATCTCTACCCTCACCACCGATTGCTTGGTATATACCTTCTATTGTGTAAAAAAACAACTAGAGTGCTGGCTGTGTGTGTGTGTGTGTGTGTGTGTGTGTGTGTGTGTGTGTGAGTGAGTGAATATGTGTATTTTCAATGACGACTGGGAACATGGGAAAATAATGTTATATATTTTTACAGTGAAGCAAGGGAACAATTACAGTTCACCAACAGAAAAGGGTTGCTAAATTTATTTAATTTCAAAATATTTATGTACAAGTTCTGTACATTATTTTCATTATTTTGATACATTATGCTGATATAATATTTCTAAACACAGATATAAAATGCTTCACATTTGACATTTTAGTTTAAAGTCATTGTCATCAAATAATTAGTAATCTTGGTTTGTGTGCATTTTCAAACTTTCCAAATTGTTAAGCCCTCTGTAAATTGTTGGTCAAGATTTCCTAAATTAGTGTACTGGCTATATAAATATTTAATACTTTCCTGCACATCATTATGACTTCTGTTATACTCCAAAGGATTTTTTCTGTTATTAATTTCTGAATTCAGTTATACAGTGATGTCAGATGGAATCTTACCAAAAATATGCATTTAAGTGAAGATGTCTGAGGCATGATAATTTTCTTTTGTTATATCTTCTGTAGATATTTAATTGAAAGAGACAATTTTGCTCTTTCTTTGTGCTATATGGCTGTAGCATTTTATCAACGTACTTATTTGGTCTGATGTTTTCTAAGTGTATTATAGTTAATTTCATTATATATGTACATATTTCTCATTATGTTTATATGTTATTAAAATATCCTGTAAATTAGTACAATTTCAATTATCTATGTAACATTAAATTAGTTCACCTAAATAATTGAAGTTTTGATTTTAGTGCAAAACTCTCCTTAAAGAATTGACACGTGGGAACATCATTAAACTATTTGGTGCTGAGACCTATAGGTATCTTAAGGAGTATTGATTAAAGGAGTTAAGAATAGCCAAGAAAACTGATATGTGTATGTTGTATATATCTCCTCTCCCTTTGTTCTTTTAGTGTAATTCATAACCTTTCTACAGGTCTCCTGTAAGTAACTTACAGATTCGTTACGATCAGTCTGGAAATAGCAGTGTAGAACATTTGCCTCCAACACCATCTACTATAGAACAACTTCTGGAGAGGCAGTGGAGTGAGGGGCAACAGTTCTTGCTGGAACAAGGAACCCCCAGTGACAGTAAGTTTTTCATCCTGTCCTAATTAATTTTTGATTGCTATTAACAATATACATTGATGGCCTTACTATGTAATCTAATATCCATCAGAAAAGTATTATTGATGTTTGTAAATTTTATGTTTGAAAGATGATCATCATTCCTGGAATGTACCCATATGTTAAAATAAGATTCTAATCATCTGTTTCATTCCTGGTATGTAAAGACCTGCCTAAAATGTTAGTCATTTACTTTAATTATTATGCAGAATTATTCTGAAGTGGGAGGATGGTGATAAGAAAGAAATTGATAATGAAAGATGAGATCATCAATTTATTTTGAAAAGATGTAATTAAAGCTTGTCTGAATCTAGTGATATGACTAGTATTATTCTGATTACATATGCATATAATTGCATTAAATATTTGAATCATTTTAAAATTATTTTACTATTTTACAAAAAGTTCCTTTAGTATATTTTCTTGATTACCGATCATGAGTACCGATCATGCCATCTAGAGGTATGTATGCACGTGTGTGTGTGTGTGTGTGTGTGTGTGTGTACTTTGTGTGTGTTTTTATGAATGGTATCCTGACAAAAATGCTAATTGTGAGGAAATTCATGCAGGGATAATCCTTTAAACATGATAGCTGGAGGACAGGTTTAGCTAAGTCTTATTGCATCTCATTTGGGCACACTGAGAGTTCCTTTGTATATTCTTGAAGAGGAGGGATAAAAAGCTAAATCCTTGGGAAATGACCAGATGTGTCTGCACTGCTATACTTGTGTCTGTACTAGGCCTAAAGGTCACATTAAACAAATACAATTTAGAATTTTAAAAGCAGCTTTTATGATGCCATATTGGCTAAACTGTCTTTATGCGCTAGTTGAAGAAAGTTCCAAAATTTATCCAAAATTCAAATTTGAGAAGTGATCGAGGATGTGCTTTATTTGCAGGAAGAGGGAAAGGGCTGCAGGAGCCTTAATGATCCCTGCTGGGTGCTCTTTAAATGGACATTGGAAACAGCTGGATTCTGTTGATTTAGATGCAATAGAAAGTTCCCATTGATTACAGAAATTCTGTGGGTTGTTTTTTTTTTACATTGGCAATTAAAAAACACAAAATTGTCTTGTGGTTATAATGATTCATTAAACTTTATAATTCAGTGTATTTTCTTTTCTGAAACTATTGTTACTATTTGTTAATAGAAGGAATATTTTCTCCCAGCCTGTTTTTTTTAATTCTCCATTTCAAATTGAATAAAGTGGAAAACATATGTACAATGTGTTCACAAACTTTGGTAGGGCAAATGATTGCCTGTGCTTCAAAGACTCTGAACTGAAACTTTGAACTGTTAAATATCTCCAGAAGAATTTTTAAAAAATAAGAATTTCACAATATTTTTGATATAACAATAAAGATACTGCTCTTTCCACAGTGGCGTTGGTACTGTACTTCCAGCAAGGGAGGAAACTTAGGCTATATATTTGGATGAACAGTTCTGGTGCACAGATAGGGTCTGTCCGTCTTATCTAGAAATAATACATTAATTTAATTCTCATCATGGGTAATTTCAAGGGACATTTGAAATATTTTCTACTTCTTTAATATTTTATATAGGCATAATTTACATTGCAAAGAAATATTCTCCAGTAATTTATTAGCAAATAAGTAATTACAATAATGTACTAATTACTTGCATATACAGAATGATGCACAAGCCATTTTTAGCTGCAACTTTCAGAGTTTTAAAATGTTTTTGTTCAGTTTTAGGCATGCTAAAATCTTTACACCAGCTTCAAGTTGAAAATCGCCACTTAGAAGAACAGATTAAAAATCTAACTGCTAAAAAGGAGCGCCTCCAGCTCTTAAACGCCCAGCTTTCAGTTCCTTTCCCAACAATAACCAACTCAAGTTCTTCTTATCAAATGGCTACATTTTCAGCACAGACTGGTAAGTAAGTCTTCCTTTTAAATTGAGTTTTACAACAATTTCTAAAAGGCTTATAGGCTATTTTACCTAAATAAATGATGAATGTTATCTCTGTGGGGGAAATAATTTTACTCTTCTTTTTTTCTATAATATGTCTTCCAAAATGAATAAAGCCTGAGAACTTTTTCAAAGAGAAAGGCACATACATATTAGATATGTTTAAACTTTTGAGGATGACCAAAAAGGAAATTGACTTAAGTTATCAGTTTATGCACCTTTATGATGTCAAAAATCACTCACGAGTAATGGGATTTCCCCCCCTAAATATTATAAAAACTGCAGTTTCTTTTTAACTTTGTCTTCCAGCTGTGATTGAATTCATTACCAGCAATAAAATTTGTGGACATAGCTTGATTTATTAGTTTCAAAGTTTAGATTTTATTAAATATCCTTGCATAATTTCTGCATCAAAAAGCATAAAACCTTATTAAAATTGTTTTTCAATTGTCACTCTAGCTGTTAGCTCTGATTCTCTGAACAGCAGCAAAAGCCCTAACCTGGGAAGCAGTTTTCTACCTGAGAACTCCCTTCCTGTATTAAATCAGGTACTGTTTTTTAGTAGCTTTTATATATCTTATTGGTTAATACTAATTTCCTATTATTTTGCCATTTTGTGAAGTTTGATACAGCTGAGTCTTTGTATTTTTATTAGGAAGTACATTCCAGTGGACAAAGCACAAGCAGTTCCTCTGCTCTTTCCACTCCACCACCTGCTGGGCAAAGTCCAGCTCAGCAAGGCCCAGGAGTTGGAGGAGTTCAACAGGTCAATGGTGTGACAGTGGGGGCACTTGCCAGTGGAATGCAAACTGTAACGTCCAACATTCCCACAGTGGGTGGAATAATTGGAACTCTGCCAGGTAACCAGCTGGCAATCAATGGAATCGTTGGGGCTTTAAATGGAGTAATTCAGACTTCTGCTACAATATCACAGAATCCTTCTCCTCTAGCTCACACAGCTGTGCCACCAAATGCAGTGCATCCTCTGCCAACCACACTCAGTAACAGGTAAATCTTTTTGCCAAATAGATATATAAATAGGTATATTTGGATGTAATATTCTAATGATGAAAGTATAAGTATATTACTTATATTCATCCTGCATTACACAAGTAATTTACCAAAGTATGTTTGGATTTGGTGTCATATAGGTTCAATCAATAAACAATAAATAAATACATCCTGAACTGTATTCTCTTCTCTTCCTTCCCATCTCATAGCCTGCCCTTGACCTTTAAATGTTCATGAGAATTCAAAATTAGTAATATGTGTGTGGAAAAGAGAAAAGTCAGATTGTTTCCTGAAACAATTTAGCAATTTGGTCTCAATCCCAGCATGCATTCATGTTGTGCAAATTAAGCAGCATAGAGGCATAATAAATCAGTCTATATTAAAATCATAGAGGATGCTCCACAGAATGATGAGCATCTTCAAAAAATTCCTGTCTCAAGTAGGTCCTAGGTTCTCAAATGTAAGTTTCCATGAAGGTTCCACTTCATCAGGCATCCAAGATCCAAATGATTTAAAATTTTAGAGGGAAGACTAAACTGGATTCTTACAATACTGAAATGACATTCTGAACGCTTGGCCTAGCTTTCTTCCTACTTGCATGCCAACAGTAGAGTTGTGTTAATTGGTGATTCCAAACCACCAGTGACAAGTAAGAGACATAGTCTTTTATCATAAGTTGTTTAAAGGCACTCTTGCTGTTGGCATCATCTACATTATCATCACCAAAATAGTCTTTTAAAGAGCATCTCAAATTGTAACATTAGACCTTCAGAAAGTGCAATGGCATCCAAAAGCAGTTGAGGTTCTCTGTCTAGATCAATCTGTTATCCTTTGGTACTATCCTAGGCCAGTTTAAATATCAGAATTAAGTTTCAGTTTATTTCAGCCTCACCTATTGTTTCCAAATTCTTGCTCAGAAATTCCATAGTTGTCTTAAATTAATAGATAAAAATGGTTATTTGATCTGCATATTGATGACTCTTTAATCAAATCTTTTGATACCTTTGTCAAACACACCTGTAGTTATTCAGATGGCTTCAATTTAAGATTCCACTATCCTCTACTGAAGTTTAAAATCGGTATGCTTGATAGAGAGTGGTTATTGCCTCAAAACTATAAATGTTTCATTTAGTTTATTTAAGAAAAATAGTTAATCTTTTTAAGGTAATAGGAGGAACTTGTTTTCTAGGTAAGACAATAACCCAGCAATGCTGACAGTAAATTGTTTGGCTAACTGAATTAATAAGAATCAGCAAATACCGGTACTTAGAAGACAAGTAGGAAGCCCAAGGTTCCAGGAAACAGTTGTTCCATTTCCATGAGCTGTTTTATTTCAGAATATAACATAGAGTCACTTTTACAAGTAAAGCAGCCATATAAAAATAAAACAAAACTAATCACAGCTATCCTATGATATTTAGATTTCATACCACTCAAAGCTGCTTCACTGATCAACAATCTTCAAAGCTACTTTGGAAAGGGAAATGGGGACTCAAATTTTAAGATTGATGTAAAAAATGTAGGTTTTCCATACAGCATTCATTGTTTGGCTAGTGATGCTTTGTATAAAACATGTATGAGTCCCCATGTTTTGCAGTCACATAAATAACATAGGCGCAACAGGCAGCATTACCAATGTTTAATTTCATCAGTTGCTTTTCATATAGTGTTTCCTTCAATTACTCCCATTTACTCTTAAAATTAGGTTGCCAGATGGCCTGTAAAATATCAGTTTGTTAATGTTCTTCATAGGAAAAGCTAAATATCAAATTTATTTAATGATACAGTGTTTATATAGAAGTAGTTGTTAAATTATATGAAAATTGAGACATGAACAAAATTAATTTTCCAGAAAAAGTGGTGAAAAGTCCATAGTTAGTGATTGAGTGAAAGGAAACATGGAATTTGAAATACTGAATGAGGAATTCTAGAATGAAATAGTTAAAATGTTTGCAAAGGATGACAGAATTGTCCATTGAAATAAAGAATGTCTGAAACTTAGAAATGACAGACAGTAACAGTTTTTAATGCTTAATTTGAAAACATTCTATATTGACCCTGGTATGTATTAATGTATATTTTATTTTGTCAAATATGTGCTGTTTTTTTAATATGCAGGTATGTATGACTGCATATACAACTGGTTGCTTAATGATTGGTTGAAGTTACGATGGATTTTTAAAAGCTACTTACAATCCATCCTCAAAAGTTCCTGATTACAGGCACCCCCCCCCAACATATGATTGCATCTTGAGCCTTGCAACTGGCTCATATTTACAACTCTGTACACCATGTACACCATGCAATCTCATGACCATAATTTGCAACATATTTTGCCATTTTCCAGCAGAAGGTTGAAAGCCCATTTGACATGCTGGATTCACTTAATGACCACACAGTTTGTTTAACAGCTGTGGTGATTATCTTTGCAACTATCATAAAAAGGTCATAAAATCAAGTCTGGTCAGCAATGCCTCAACATACAACCACAAAGATTTATGACTGAAATTCTGGACTCCAGTATGGTCATAAATTGAGGAACAGTTGTGGTGCAGGTAGTTTTCCTGCACTATAGGAATTTTAAAACTCCCTATATTTTTTAAAGTGATAAAGAGGCATTTAATGTCTCTCGTCCTTGCTTCTGAGCATAGCTCAGCATGCCACTGAAAATGTGGATGAGATTTTCAATATTTGTATGATTAAATTATTTTGTTAGTATATCAGTGATATTAAGTACTTTGCTAGTTCAGTTGTACTTATTTTCTAATGTTTCATCAGTAAATGTTGTATAAATAAACTTTTAAGATAAAAATTGAGTATATGCTTAGAAATACATGATCAGCCTATACACACAAATCTGTATATATTTTAGTTTTAAATAGTTTAATTTTTCAGAAAGTATGGTATAGAAGTGATCTAAGCATGTTTGCTCAGTAAAATGCACCTTGCTATTTCGCAGAACTTCTGGACTTGGATTTCTTCCTGACCAGCAGAGACAACTGCTGCTACATCAACAGCAGCAGCAATTTCACCACTTACTAAATACTCAACAATTCACATCAGTAAGCATTTCTATTTTATCATTATATTTTCAATGTTCAGGAATGAGTGTTGATGCTTATATATTTCAGCCTGTCACTGATAGGCTGTAATATCAGAATGTTCATAGATAAACTAGAGATCTGCAGTTTCAAAAAAAAAAAAGAAAAAGAATGGGATTAAAAAAATGTAGGCCCTATCACCACCTTAAAAGGTTTGGCATGTCCACTTACTGCATCAAAAAATAAAAGAGGAATAGGAAAACGTACACACTATTAGCTCGAGAGCCAGTTTGCTCTAGTGGTCGGCACCAGGCTATAAAGGGGGAGACCATGAGTTCAAGTCCTGCCTTAACCATGAAGACCAACAGGATAACTTTTGGCCAGTCACCCTCTCTCAGCCCCAAAATAACTTATAGGGTGGTTGTTATTGTAGGAAAAATAGGAGAAAGAAGATATGTTGGATATGTTCACTGCTTTGGGATATTTGTAAAAACAAATGCAGGATATAAATAAATAAATAAATTTATATATCATTGTGATTTCTGATCTACGCATCTGGGTTATTTGCCTGCACAGAGTCCATTCAGACTTGTCTAAGACTTTCAGATTTGTTTGATTGCAGGCTCCAAGACATAGTTCCCATTGATTCCTTTCAGTATGTTTTCTGTCATTAACTTTAACATTTGTGTTCTTCCACTTTACTGAAAATAATTTCATTCCTTATTTTTATTTTTTTAAGTCTTTTTAGCATTTTTTTAAAAAATCCTTAGAATTTTTCATCATGACATTTTTTTCTCTCACGGACATCCAACTTTCAGCCTTATGAATTGGACTTTTTTTCCTTGGTGAAATAGACTTCTATTATCTGTTCCATGCATTTACTAAATAGTTTTGTTGTCTCCCAAATTACCTGGTGATCATCTCATTTTTTCAAAGGTTGATTGAACTTTTCACAATCTGGAGGGATCACACAGGTCTCTATTGCACCACCATCAACATATCTCATTAAAAATTCAGAACTTTTTCAGTGGTTTCATATTTCAGTCAGGGCAATAGGAAAAAGCTTTTGTTTCCTGCCTTCTTGAATTATCCTTCTACTGTTCCTGCTGTTGCTGAATTTAATTTATACTGTCCAGTCTTTACCAATTTTTGTTCAAGCACATGATCTCAGAAACATATATTTAGGACAGGTCCCTCTAAAAACCTACTTTTGCAGAACTACTACTACCCACTGGGATAGTCAAAACCAAAATTTTCTCTTATTGGGAAAAATCACTTAACTCGTACCTCATGCCTATTCTGTTTCTAAAGGACATATCTCTCCAAATTCCTTGGCTCCATTCTTTCCCACTCTTCTAGGACGTATAATTTCTTACCAAGTTTTTCATAATTCCAATTATTGTACCTGTATTTCCTGGAATAGTTCAAGATATAATGTTAAAACTTCGCATGTATTGTAACTCCATATTCTTTTCAAATTCTATCACCTCATATTTGTAGATTGATAACATGATATATAGCTTTTGCACGTGTTGCATTCTCGTAACTTTCCTCCTCAGATATGTTCTTTCAAAGTAAATCTCACATCTGAATTCAAGTTGATGTGATTTCGTGTCCAGCACTATCTTGCCCTAGTCAGAGAACCTTGCATCTGCTGAGATAATTTGGCCACATTTTTGGTCTACTGTCACTAATAAGATGACATCATGTTGATTCATTCTCCATCAGAGCTCATGCCAATATTTTTCAACTTGGTGATTATCTCTCTGATTCATCCTTAATCTAGATCTTAGAAGTAACCTCACTGGAATACATTTGAAAATTATTTAAATTCTTAGCATTCCCAGTAAATACCTTCAGAGATCCATTACCGTTTTTTCTAAAAAGATTTAAAAAATTCTATTTTTCCATGGGTGTATCCTTGTAGAGCCTGTTTTATAGTGCTTATAATTGAGAGTTTAGAAGATGGAAGGATGAATTCCCAGTTAACACTGTTGTCTTCAAAAAACAAAGTGAAATACCACTAAAAGCAGTGTAGCTCTTGCCTTAAAATATGGCAGCTGCCATTTTGACCAATTTAATTTTTTTATCTTGTTGGCTGGAGAGGATGATGTTGTATATATGTGTAACTGTTTGCTGGGGATACTGTCTGATCCTTTCCCATGCAAATGTGATAGAAAACTAACTACAATTTTCCTATAGAAAGGACTTCATGATCAAGAAAATATGTCATATTACATTTTGAATTCATCAAGTTTACTGAATCTTGCCCAGTTGTTCATTTCTTGGTCTAAATCAGGAGGATCTGTTACCCAGTACATGTTTCTGAAGAACAAATTTCATCATCCTGAATTACTGGGTATGCTAGCCAGTTGAGAAACTAAAGTTGGGAAATACATTTCAGCAAACGTTAACACACCACTCATTTTCTAAATCTGGAATCCAAAAAGGCGCGTTTGTGCAAAGAAAAATTATTTGCATTTTTCAGAATTTCTCTAAAGAGAACAGACACACCCACATCTTTGAGAGTGTCTGTGGAAATTCTCAGTCATTCAGTTGTGGTTGTCCTAAAGCTGCTTTTCCAAAAGGCAACTGGACTTTCTTTTTTCCTCTCTCTTTGAAAACGTTTCACTTCTCACCCAAGAAGTTTCTTCAGTTCTGAAGAATGAACTGAACTCTCCCTATTGGAAAAAGCATTTATGGGACACTCCTCTTTGAGATGCTATTATATCTGTAATTGTTCAATAAGTTCTTGTCAGAATGGTTCTCCAAAAACAGAAGTTTGCTTGTACCTTATCTCACCAGTATTTTGATTTTTGACACACCACATTCATCAGTTGTAATTTGAATGTTTGCATTGATTATGTCAGTAGACAGCTGACAATTTTTTCTTGCCTTGCCCTTTCAACTTTTTCTCTTTTTGTTTTATAGTTCACAGGATGAGTGAGAGGTTTGCTGCTTGTTTTCATTCCCTTTTTGTGGCTGTTACATTTGTTCTCTCAAAGTTGTCTGCTTAGAATGAGGTATTGTTCTTACAATAACCTTTAAGAGATTATGATTTGGGCCAAGTGAACTTTTTAGTTGGTCATGAATTTGAATCTGAATATTCTCTACCGTGTCTGATCAGGCATGGAATCCTTCTGCAATGAGGTGCTTTCAGAATAATATTTTTAGCTTTCTTCCCTTGAACAATGAAATAATAGTCACTTTTTTTGTACTCCAAACTATTAAAAAATGATTCCTCAGAATACAATGAAAGAGCTATAAATGCTATCCGAGTGAGAACCATTTGAAAGTTTAGCTTTCGTCCATATTTAACTACTTGGAAAAATATAGTAATCTACAAGATAATAACTGCAATGTGCCTCCTCTATTGTGCTAAAGGAACAGCATCAGGCTCTTCTGTATCAACTAGTGCAACAGCATCAACCCGAAGTACAGCAACTGCAGCTTTCAGGAGCTACACAGATTCCCATTAATAACTTGCTGGCAGTCTCTCAGGCGTCTCCGCTTCACACAGCTGCTACTAACCCATTCCTTGCAGTTCATGGGGATAATGCAGCTCCAAAAGTCTCTGTAAGTATATAGAGTTTGGGTTTGTAATAAAAAAGACTTAAAAAGGGAAAAAAGTGTTCCTGTTTATAGCAGAAGTGCAACTTAAAGCAACTGGCTTATACGATCAGTTATTTTGGTAGCTGGTCACTGAATGAACCAAGTAACTCTAATCTCTCTCTTGGTAAAGCTGACAAAGTGAACTTCAATGAAAATTAGCATGAAACTTTCCCAGTTTCTAATTATAGTTCAGTATTTTTGACTTCTAGGATATTGTAGGTCCTCCATCTTTACAAAGTAGAAAGAGTCACATTATAGTCACATTGTTGGTGATCTATGCTGGCTTCATACCAATAGTTGCAGCAAGTTTCTAAACCTTACCCAAGCAGTTAGAATCTGGTCAGAATCTGGTCAGAAAGCTAAAATGCACAAACATTTTATATTTTTTTTAAAGTTCATTTACTTCTCTGGTATTAACCACTGGCAAGGGGCACAGGAACTATTTTTTCTTCTAGTGTACAGTCTTAAAACCAGATTAATTCTAGCACAATGTTCCATTGTATAAACTTATCATTACATGCAGTGTGATTTGCATACAGAAGTTTAATGATACCAAATATGGTTTCAGTGAAAGGACCCACCTCTGGAATATCTAGTAAAACAATAAAAAGTATTGTGAGCATTAAGTAAAGATGCCTCACATATATGCATGAATGGGCAGGAATTTTGATTGAAGAGAGTGGCTTGAAGATAGTCTTGTTTCTCAATTCTTTTTTTCTTTTCTTTAGCTACTAATCACTGTTCTGAAATAAGATCTGTCCAGTAATTATTTTTAAATTCCCTAATCAGCCAACAGTATTTACTGGATTGGTATTTTAGTCAAACTTAATTTAAGGAAGTGTTAGAATTAAGGATTGTACTCGTGGTCAACCAAAAGTTTTAAATGTTTTTGTTAAATTGTTTTGAATTTCTTATTCTCGCACAGCTAAACCTAAATCATTCACATTTGCTGCTTTTCTATTTCAATAACAGGCCAAATGAATGTAGAACTTTCTCTTGGCTGTTCAGAATAGGATGTGTCCTGAGCTTCCTTTTCAATATTATTTCCCATTTTGTATACCGCTAGTATGCAAAAGCAGAAGCTGGCTGAATCTGAGGAGCAGGATAAGAGGCTTCTAGCTTTGATTTGGGATGACCTCTCCACTCCCTCCCCAGGAGTGAGTGTACTCAATGCAGATAAAATTCCCCCTCACTCAACAGCAGGGAACAAAAAGCAAAGACCACATGCTGCTTTCTGTGCCCTTTGGACTTGCAAAAGAGGCTAAGCAGTCAGAAAAGCGAACAATTAGCAGATGGAGATTTACTTTGGCAGCAGCTTTGGAGGCCAAGCACTCTCAGTTCAAAATATCAGTTGTAGTATTGCTTCCGAGCCTTAGAAAGTATTTCCAGATATGGGTATATGGGCGGGAAGCTCAATCCGTTAAAAATTATTTTCTGTGCGGATATATTGTGGCTAGCTGTATAAATTGTTTATTAACAAAAGCACTGGCAATTTTAGCATTGTAAAATAGTATATATACTTTTTTTTTTTTCTCCAGAGGCTTAGTGATAAAAGTGGATCCCTTGCACCGGAAAAAAATTAACACTTGGAAGTGTATGTAAAATTGCAAATCCTGCTGATAGCACTTCATCTGGCTGCACTCTCTCTCTGCAGGTATGATGAGACACATCAATGAGCTAACTGCACACTGGAAAAGTGAATCTACCTGAAGTTGTTTATTGTAAAATTTGACCTTTTGTTGCATTGTGTTGCACTGAAACTGAACAGTTTCCATCAAATTGCCTGGAAGTTTGGATTTCAGATTAGAGCACTGTCAGTTCAGGCAACTGATCGGAATTCAGTTGCTGACTTTACACAAACTGCAGTGCTAAAAATCAGATATTTAGTTCCATCACTTCTTTGAAGCAAGCAAAGAAAATAGGAAAATTTTGCCAATGACATGGTGATTTGTCATCAGTGTTTTAGAAGCACCATCTTTTTCTTCAGAAAAATAACAGGTTTTAAGTCATTTATTTTGTCTTACTAGTTTTTAAAATGTTTTGCTAGAATGAAACTTTTAAGAAAAGACAAGTAATATTTACAGGTAAAACTAAAAAAATTAGAATATCGTGCAAAAGTTCATTTATTTCAGTAATGCAATTTAAAAGGTGAACCTAATATATGAGATAGACTCATTACATGCAAAGCAAGATAGTTCAAGCCATGATGTGTCATAATTGAGATGATTATGGCTTACAGCTCATAAAAACCCCAAATCCACAATCTCAGAAAATTAGAATAGTGTGAAAAGGTTCAATATTCTAGGCTCAAAGTGTCCCACTTTAATCAGCTAATTAAGCCATAAAACCTGCAAAGGGTTCCTGAGCCTTTAAATGGTCTCTCAGTCTGGTTCAGTAGGAATCACAATCATGGGAAAGACTGCTGACTTGACAGTTGTGCAGAAAACCATCATTGACACCCTCCCATAAGGAGGGAAAGCCTCAAAAGGTAATTGCAAAAGAAGTTGGATGTTCCCAAAGTGCTGTATCAAAGCACATTAATAGAACATTATGTGGAAGGGAAAAGTGTGGGGGGAAAAAGTGCACAAGCAGCAGGGATGACCTCAGCCTGGAGAGGATTGTCAGGAAAAGGCCATTCAAAAGTGTTGAGGACTTTCACAAGGAGTGGACTAAGGCTGGAGTCAGTGCATCAACAGCCACCAGACACAGACAGATCCTGGATATGGGTTTCAAATGTCGTATTCCTCTTGTCAAGCCACTCCTGAACAACAAACGCCAGAAGCATCTTACTTGAGCTAAAGAAAAACAGAACTGGTCTGTTGCTCAGCGGTCCAAAGTCCTCTTTTCTGATGAGAGCAACTTTTGCATCTCATTTGGAAACCAAGGACCCAGAATCTGGAGGAAGAATGGAGAGGCGCACACTGCAAGATGCTTGAAGTCCAGTGTGAAGTTTCCACAGTCTGTGTTGATTTGAGGAGCCATGTCATCTGCTGGTGTTGGTCCACTGTGCTTCATTAAGTCTAGGGTCAACACCAGGAGATTTTGGAGCACTTCATGCTTCCTTCTGCAGAAGAGCTTTATGGGGATGCTGACTTCATTTTCCAGCAGGACTTGGCACCTGCCCACACTGCCAAAAGCATCAAACCCTGGTTCAATGACCATGGGATTACTGTGCTTGATTGGCCAGCAAACTCGCCTGACCTGAACCCCATAGAGAATCTATGGGGCATTGCCAAGAGAAAGATCAGAGACATGAGACCGAATAATGCAGAAGAGCTGAAGGCCGCTATTGAAGCATCCTGGTCTTTCATAACACCTCAGCAGTGCCACAGGCTGATAGCTTCCATGCCACGTTGCACTGAGGCAGTAATTGCTGCAAAGGGGGCCCAAACCAACTACTGAATACATATGCATGCTTATACTTTTCAGTCTGATAATGTTCTATGTACAATCCTTGTTTTATTGATTGCATGTAATATTCTAATTTTCTGAGATTGTGGATTTGGGGTTTTCATGAGCTGTAAACCATAATCATCTCAATTATGCAAATCATGGTTTGAACTATCTTGCTTTGCATGTAATGAGTCTATCTCATATATTAGTTTCACCTTTTAAGTTGCATTACTGAAATAAATGAACTTTTGCACGATATTCTAATTTTTTGAGTTTCACCTATAATTTTGAGATGGATTTTTTCAAGATCACTGGAAAAACGGATCTGTTGAAAGTCATAGAACTTTTACCAGATGAGAAAGTAACTCCTGTTCTGGTAGTATTTAATGTAACCCAAGTGCCTGTTGCTTCCCTCTGTTGGGTTAGGGATGGCTTTAGACAGCTGGGCATGCACTAAAATGAGATAAAAAAGCCGCAAGCATATTCAACTTTGCACCAGCAGCCTTCCTTTCTGATCTGCCTTTACTAGAAATGTTTGTCACTATCAATAGCTCAGGCAAATCGTTACCTGGGTTGCTTTCCACTAATAAATTACCAAAAAAAGAAAGAAATTTTTTTCCATTGCTATGAAATGTTAATGGGTAAAAAAGATATATTTCATTTTGAAGTGTTAATTTCATTGTATGACTATGCAGTAAAACAGGGAATAGTTTTGAGAGTTAATAACCACTAATTTGAGTCTGTGAGTTATTAGTGGAAAATACTCAAGTATACTTAGACCTTCACTGTGTACTTAATTGGAAGAACCTATTGTTTCTGCAATATTGTTAGGTTAAACATTGCACAGTTCTTACCTCATTTCTGTAAATAAGTTTTTGTGACCGTTTTGTATTGTGACGAATTCATAAAATGTGGATATTTTGATTTGTAAAATTTCTAACTGGTAGTTCTAATTGAAAGGTAAGAATAATTTATTTTTATATATTAATGGCAAGTTTTAAAGTCACAAATCACTTTTGTAGATAAATTTACTAAAGTAAATCAGTGTGGTTTAATTTATTTAAACCACTTGTTTAATATTCTGTAATAATTTGTATAAATGTTGTTTTGCCTAGATGTAAAATTGCCAATTTATATAAAGATATGTACAAAGCTTTGGTTAATAAATTTTAATATTGTTTATGGCTGTAAATTGCAATATATGAATACAGACTTTCATCAGAGGAATGCATTAATCACTGTCTAAGCCAAGTCCTATTACAAGCATGCTTTTAATGCATACTGTTCAAATCATGGTGTTTTAAATGGAATTTAAACAGGCCTATTCTAATGTGGCTTCTCTAACAAAATATATAGCCAGAATGGAAAGTCCAGTTCCTGCTGCAGCAGAAAGTGCCTTGACATGAAAGAGTTATCTTTCTTAAGAAAAAGGTCATTTTACAATGTTTGATATCCTTTCACCCAATAGGAAAAATTGTGTTTTAGTTATAAGGAAAAATGTGCTACCACTCCATGTCACCACAAGGAAAACAGGCACAATTGATTTCTTAAATTTTGAGAAACATAAGATTTTAGCACTTTAAAAAAAAGATTGACATCCTCATCCTATCATGGCATTAGTATGAAATATGTAGATTTTTTTAGGCTGAAAGCAATAGTTTTATCCCTTACATATTTTCCAATCCTCCCCGCAAGGCCGAAAACTTGAGGATTCTTCTGGTATAGTAGAATTATTTGGAATGAAGACTTGCCTTCATCATTAGCACCAGCCACCAGCAGACAGAGCTTGGACTATATAAATGCAAATATTTTTGCTCTTTTACTCATAATTCACAACTAAAATATATACTTTAAGTTGTGGCTGCTTCTATATATAGAGTGTAAGAATGCCTGAAATGTCACACATAGTCTGACATCTAATATATCTTGAGATAATGTACCTGCCATTGGGGGGGGGGGGGGGGAGGGAATCCACTTTTGATGAATTTACTGACTAGGACTGATCATTCTTTTGTTCTTCAATTGAGGTTTCCCAACTATTGTGATTTTTTTAAAAGTTAGTTATTTCTCGATTATTAATGCTGTCCAACTGTGCTCTGTGTAGAAAGAAAAATGGGCAACTCTGCCCACCTGAAACTGACTTTACAGGTTTGAGGCAGCAAGGTCAGTTCTGGGGAAGAAGCTGCAGTCAAGGATTAACTGGAGGACCAATTGTTATAATGTAAGGCAATAGATAGAATTTGCTGTATTGAACAGTATGGTCTGAAGCTAAATATTAATAGGATCCACAATGAAGGCAAATAGAATGAAATTAGAAATTCAGTTTCCATTTGTTGGTTCTCCATAAATCTCCAAAGCAGCCATAGCAATAGCACTTAGACATACCACTTCACTGTGTTTTACAGTCCTCTCTAAGCTGTATACAGTGTCAGTATATTGTCCCCAGGAATCTGGATCTTCATATTACCAACCTCACAAGGATGTAAGGCTGAATCAATCTTGAGCTGGTCAGGAACGAAGGAATCGAACTCCTGGCAATGTGAGCAGAATTAACCTGCAATACTGTATTCCAACCACTGCGCCATCATGCTCTGGGATATACAAAATTTGTTGACCCAGGAATGGAACTTTTGTGGAATGTTCTATTTCAGAATTGACTAAATTTTCACTTCCCTACCTCTGCATGTTTCATTGGAATAGGATGAATGTAATGCCAATGTTATATGATAATAAAACAAAGTGTAATATTCTTAGGGAATGAGTGGTTATTAATGAAAACTGAAATGTAAGATACTTAGAAAACACAATGTTTCCCATCCTGCAATATGACTTTATATTAAAAGATATTTCCTCAGCTGTTCCAATATGTATTCCAAATGACATTTCTTATAATACCAGTTGTCATAGTGGCAAAAAAACCCTCCTGTACAAAAATACTCTGATTCTATTAAAACATATTTCAAATTGAAGGTGTAAAATTTTACAGATTTTTTTTACTAAGGCACATGACATACTGAAATACTGAGGTACAAAAATACAAGTCACTGCATATGATGTTTAATGTTTCTCATTTTGATGAATAATCTTCAAAATGTTCAACTTTTGGCCATTTTTTTCTTTTGTATAAGTTCAACCAACAGTTTGTATCTAGTCATACATTCTTCCTGTAGAAAAAAGAAGAAAACATGGAGTATTAATGTGTAATATTCATTTTTAAAAGTATTATTGACAATTTACACTAGGCAAGAAAGAAAGGGAAAAACATTTTTGGAGTCTATGGGAGAAAGTAGTATCTATTATTATCGCAAACTCTATACAGTATCGTGCACAGTTACTCCACAACTAACAGTCACCTAAGAGCCATTAAAGGGACATGGTTGCTCAGCGGCAAAGACACTGAGCTTGTCGATCAGAAAGGTTGGTAGTTTGGCGGTTCAAATCCCTAGTACTGTGTAAAAGAGTGAGCGCCCGTTACTTGTCCCAGTTTCTGCCAACCTAGCAGTTTGAAAGCATGTTAAAAATGCAAGTAGAAAAATAGGGACCACTTTGGTGGGAAGGTAACAGCGTTGCATGCGCCTTCAGCGTTTAGTGATTCCGGCCACATGACCCCAGAGACGTCTTAGGACAGTGCTGGCTCTTCGGCTTTGTTACGGAGATGAGCATCACCCCCCTAGAGCCAGAAACGACTAGCACGTATGTGCAAGGGGAACCTTTAAGAGCCATTTGAAGTTGCCCCCTCCTCCCGAAAGCTACTCATGCTATGGCCTGATGTTATGGCTGCTGAAGTATTCCCACATTCATTTACCCTTATGGCTGATTGTAAGGAAGATGCAGCACCCCCTGGCACTGGGTCCCTGTAAATATTTCTTCCCCCAATGATTCCCCCTTAGCCTTTGACTTGATTTCCACCCTACCAAGCCCCATGCATTCCTCACTTTTTGAAGAGTTCTGAAGCCTTCTATAATGATAGTACAGGTTGCTTTGTCCCTCCACTGCTTGGTGTGCTCATCTCTGGGCCACATGGTGGCAACCTGGAAATGGTCAGCATTTTGCTCCTGTCCAATTGTGGGTGAGGACAGAATGGCACCATGAGATAAACTGTTCCATTTTGCTACCTTATCAAGGTTGGACAGCACTATGGAAAATTTTTGAAAGTGCAAATCACATTAAGGTAGCAAAACAGTGGTTTGTCCCATGGCTACAAGGCATCATTCTGGTATTGTAAATATTGCTGCCACTTCTGGAATCATGCCACATGGCTTTGCGATAAAGCAATCTATTCCAGCACACTGGAAGACCTTGGAGCTCAGCAAAAGGTAAGTGAGGAGGAGCGTGTTTGGCATAGTGGAGTGGGAATCAGGCCTAGGGGAGACCTGAGGGGCATGGGGAAAGGCCCACGGAGACCCAAGGGTCAGGAAGCAAAGAACAAAGAACCTCAGGGTGGGAGAGACCTTGGTAGGACCAGAGCGGATAGGCCTGGGGCTATGTTATGCCTACAAGGGCCTTTCCCACCTGAGGCACCCCAAGCTCCACCTGTAAGTTTGTTTAACAACTGCATTGGAGAGAGCAGGAATGGGAAGATCAAGTGAGACAATCTATTTAATGGTCATCACAACAAGAAGCCATAATGGACAGACTCCATTACAGCTATATCTTGAGGACTACCTACATTCACTGAACACTAGGCAGCTTCCAAAATTAAAAGATAATAAAGTTATAAACAAAGTGTATCTTCCTCCACTGCTGAACTATTCAACTACTGAAGATTTACCATTCCAAGGACCCTGCAAATAACTGCATCCATTGCTAAATGTCCCAAAAGTGGGAGCCTTACTTTGCCAGGCAAAGTATTCCATATGAGAACACTGCTAATGAGAAGGCTGTCTTGCACGCCTCCGTGCACTCAAGCTCTTATTGGCCAGTACCTGCAGGTCGAGCTGGCAGATTCTATATGGATCAGACAGCCCCAAAGGTAACAGGTTTTTATATACATTTCCCACCATCTTAAAATTGGACTTGGAATGAGTAACCAGTGCTGCTCTCAAAGAACAGACATGTCGGTTATTAAGCCTGTTCAATCCATGGCAGCTGCAGATTCAGGTTATCTTCAAGGGCTTTCCTATGTAAAATGAATGGCTGAAGTCTTAACTGAATTAACAAGAGCCTGATTCATTGCCAGTATTCCTATAATCAAGGTAGGTTGCGATTGTTAAGACGAGTGGGACCCAGTCAAAGATTCCCCTGATGCTCTGGAGACCAGGACATTACATTGCATACCTGCTTCTAGAATAGTGCCATCAAAGTCAACAGAGCTGTCTATATATCCATAAGGGTTTTGCACTAATAATGAATGTGTCTTGCTGGGATTCAGAAAGCATGTGCTTCAATCCATCCATTCCCTCCTAGCTTCCAAGCATCAGGTCAAGATACTGGAATCTGTAGCGCCTCAAAAATCCTATTCTGACATATTGATGGCTATAAGCCCCTGTTCACTGCATATAGAAATATAGTTGTTCATTTTTTTCCAATGTATATCTGCTGCTGCCCAGAATATATAACTAAAATATTTTCAAAATTCACAAGCCTGACCAAGCAGTAGGCAGCTTTTTGCTTCCAACAGTTACAATTCAACTACACTTCAGGAAATAGATAGAGTGCCTTTATCACCTTCCTCATCTGTCATGCTTTGATAATTAAAAACATTAAATTATCAGCAAGTTGGGGGAGGGGAGAAAGAGACAGAACATAATTTCCCACCTTACTTGGTTATTTTCCTATTGAATATACTGCTTCACCTGCTTCCTGACTTGTCTGGGAAAAATGAGTGAACTTAGGAAGCAATGTATTGATTAACTAATTGCAAGATGTCTGCCACAATATGTGTCCACAAATTTTCGGTCAAGAATACACTAGAGAACTAAGTTTTGTAAAAAAAATGGGCATTGTCTTACTTGAATGCCTCTTCTCCTTGTAGGCTAGATAGGCCAGGAATGGGTTACGCAGTGTCCTAGCTGATTGGACAGAGTCTGTCAAAGCTGATTATCTTAGCTCCACCCCTGTAGCTGGCCACTCCCAGCTTTCGGCGGAAGACTTCATGACAGACAGGACTGCCTCTGAAACACATAATCAAGACCAGGTTATCAGGGGCCCCGTTGGCCCACACTGCGGACTAGACCACTCAGGGTGGAGCTGGCCTATCTAGTCTACAAGAAGAAGAGGCGTTCAGGTAAGACAATGCCCATTCCCCCTTGTAAGGCTGTGATAGGCCAGGAATGGGACATACCAAAGCTGGAGTGTCCACGGGAGGGTTCATGTCTGGTCCCGGTCCCCATGCTCCGTAACGACTTTGCAAAACCTGTTTCCCAAGTGCAGTGTCCACCGAAGCGAAAGCAGACAGTAGTTCTGAATGAAAGGTGATGGGGGTGTCCAAATGGCTGCTTGCAGACTTCTTCAGTTGAAACCTGTGTCGCCCAGGCCACTGTTATAGCAGCACTATGAGTAGAATGAGCTGTAATACCTCTAGGCACTGGGAGGGAATGACTTGTGTATGCCCTGGAGATACAGGACTTGATCCATCTGCTAACCATAGAGGGAGTTACCTTGCTCCCCCAAACGTGGCAGGTTGGAAGGAAACAAATAGGGAATTCTGAAGTCATCTTGATAAAAACCTTTAAGGCCCTACAAACATCTAGAGTGTGCCAAGCTTTTTCCAAGTCATGGGCCAGGTTGGGGCAAAAATCTGGAAGGACCAATTCTTGTGCTCTGTGAAACAAGGTGTTGTTGACTTTTGGGGTGAAGGCTGGGTCCAGCCTCAAAATCACCCAGTGAGGGTGGAATATGCATAGGACTGGAGACACTGAAAGAGCCACCAACTCAGATACTCTCCTGGCTGAAGTTATAGCAACCAAAAATGCTACCTTAACTGTCAGGAGATGCAAACTTGCCAACCTGAGCGGTTCAAATGGAGCCTTTGTCAGAGACTGCAAAACCTTCAACAGGTCCCACATAAGATACCTGTGGACCACTGCAGGTCAAAGGTTAGAAGCACCTCTGAGGAACCTGCAGACAGTAGGGTGATGCACCAACAATTCCAACTTTCCGCAAGTTAGCACAGAAGATAGGGCCACCACCTGATGACAAAGAGTATTTGGAGAAAGGCCTGTATCCAAATCTGCCTGTAAGAATTCCAAAATCTGTACTATTGAAGCCTCTAGAGGCTGAATCTTTGACTTAGAGCACCAAAGGGAAAAAGCTTGCCAAGTAGCATCATAGATGCAGATTATGGAAGGTCTCCTGGAGGCCTGAATGGTCCTGATAACTGTGCTGGATAATTAGGTGCATTTTAAAACACTCCACTCAATCGCCAAGCTGTCAGCTGTGGCCACTGGGGCTCTGGATGTTTCAGGACCCCTGAAGGAGAGGTTCATCTTCCTTAGGAATCCACCAAGGATGATCTACTGATAGGTTCACCAAATCCACGAACCAAGGGCATCAAGGCCAATAAGAAGTCAATAAGATAATCTCCGCCCTTTCTGTCAGTATATTACACACCATAGCTGACAGCAGAGGCATGGGAGGAAAAGCATACAACAATCCCTGGGGCCATCTGCTGTGGACAACGTTGGTCCCTTCAGCTCCTGGGGTAACAAACCTAGTAAAATATCTTGTCAACTGTGTATTTACTGGGGTGGCAAACAAACCCACCACAGGAAGGCCGAATCTCTGAGTTATTTGTAGAAATAGGGAAGGATGCAGTCTCCATTCAGCATGGTCAATGGTGGCTTTGCTGAGCCAGTTTGCCTGCACATTATCACTGCCTGAAATATGTTCAGTCCAGATGGATAGGAGATGTTGTTCTGCCCATCTACCTAAAGCCTCAGCTTCTGACATGAGGGATCGGGACCTGGTTCCTCCCTGCCTGTTGATGTGGGCTTTGGTAGCCACATTATCAGTCATGACAAGGACATGTCTACCACTCAGATACTGACTGAATTTTCTGAGAGCCAGGCAAACAGCCCTGAGTTCCAGCCAATTAATATTGTTGACCTCTGTTGACCATATGCCCTGAGCCATATGTGAAGACAAGGCCTTGGGAATTACAAACAGTCTAGAATAAAATCCCCTTTCTTGTTGGTCTATGGCAGTGGTTCCCAAACTTTTTAAGTCCACCGCCCCCTTGGTGCTACAAACTCATCCTCAGTGCACCCCACCCCAGGGGTGGGATTCAAATTTCTGTGGGCATGGCCTAATTTGAGGGTGTGGCTTGGTGGTCGTGACTGGGTGGTGTAGCTTACTGGATGGGCATGGTTTGGTGGTCATGTGACTGGGTGGGCATGGCCAGGTGGCCATGTGACTGGCAAACCAAATATAAATGGTCCTCGCTTAATGGCCGGTTACTTAGTAAGTGTTCTAATTTATGACTGACCTTCCTAGAGCTACTTGACCTGTTTTGGGAGTTTTGACAGCAATGCACATATGCACGCACGCACACACACACACACACACACACACCCTCCTAACCCTGCTGGAGCAGGTGGTTGGACTAGATATCTCATTCACTTTACCATTCTTTCTTTCTTTCTTTCTTTCTTTCTTTCTTTCTTTCTTTCTTTCTTTCTTTCTTTCTTTCTTTCTCTTTCTTTCTCTTTCTTTCTTTCTGTCCCTTCCTTCCATCCCCTCTCTTTCTTTGTCCATCCTTTTTATTCCTTTCTCTCCCTTTTTCTCTCCCTTTTCTCTTTCTTTTCTTTCTTGTCTCTTCCTTCTCTCTTTCCCTCTTTCTCTCTCTCCCTTCCTCCATGTCCCATTCACTTTCTCCTCCCTCCCTCCCTTTTTCTTTCTCTCTCATTCCCTCTCTTTCTCTCTTTTCTCTTTGTCTTTCTCTTTCCCTCTTTCTTTCTGTCCCTTCCTTCCATCCCTTCTCTTTCTTTGTCTATCCTTTTTCTTCCTTTCTCTTCCTTTCTCTCTCCCTTTTTCTTTCTTTACTTTCTTGTCTGTTCCCTCTCTTTTTCTCTTTCTCCCTCCCTCTCTTTCTCTATCTTTCTTTCTGTCCCTTCCCTCCATCCCCTCTTTCTTTGTCTATCCCTTTTCTTCCTTTCTCTTCCCCTTTCTCTTCCTTTTTCTTTACTTTGTCTGTTCCTTCTCTCTGTTTCCCTCTCTCTTTCTTTTCTCTCTCTCTCTCTTTCCATCTCTCTTTTTCCCCTTCTCTCTCTTTCCCTCTCTCTCTATCCTTTCCTTAACCTATCTACCTATTTTCTGCCCAGGCAGGCGTGGCCTAATCTGTCAAATGCCTGGGCTAATCCTGCATCTTTCAGAGGTCCCAGCCCTTAATCTCTCCATTTCCTCCCCCACAACTGCCTCTTTCATCCTCCCACGACCATGACTTTACCTTCTTCCTGCGGCTGGCTGCCAGGGAAGGCAAGCCAGGGCTGAGCCATTGTTGTTGCTGGGCTCCCTGCCAGCCCACATCGCCCTTGTCACAAATGCCTGCAGTCACCATGTAATTTTTTCGGTGCGGCTAGACTGCAGCCACATCACAAAAACATGCGGTGGCTGGAGGTTTTTTGCAGCAAAAATTACCGACCTCCGGTTTTGCCCTGCTTCTCCGCTGCTGCTGCATTCTAGGTGCCGGCCTCTCAGCTCCACCGCATTGAGCCCGCTGCCCTGGAGGGACTTGCCCAAGCAAGTCTGAGCAGAGTGCTGCAGCAATGGGATGAGCCTGCATGGCTGGTGCCGGAACGCGGCGGAGGTGGCGCATTGGAGAAGCAGTGCAAAGCTGGATGTCAATAATTTTCACTGCAAAAGACCTCCAGCTGTCGCATGGTTTTATTGGTGTGGCTGGACTGCAGCTGCACCAAAAAAACCACATGGCATCTGCATGCTTTTTGCAGCGAAAATTATCGACCTCCAGCTTTACTTGCTCCGCTTCTCCAGCACGCCGCTGTGACCATCAGCGATTGTTGCGCATGCGCGTGATGTCGCGCATGTGCAATAAGGACTGACTGGGCAGGGAACGGAGGAGTGGGCGGAGAGGAGCAGGGCCAGCCAGAGGCCCATTTTACCAGTTCTCCGAACTAACACGAACAGTAATGAATCAGTAGAATTCCACCCCTGAATTGTGCCCTGTGAGGGACCTACCTCCAGTGCCCCCCTGCTGCCTCTTAGCGCCCCCTTGCTGGCCCTTTTCCTATTAATGCCCCCCTAAGGCATTTCAACGCCACCCAGGGGCAGTACCTCCCACTTTGAGAACCACTGGTCTATGGGAACCCCTTGGATGGCCCTTAGATCCAGTAGATGCTGGATGTTTGATTTCATGAGTCCCCTTCTCACACTGTCCCTTGAAATAGGACAGGAGATGAAAAACCTCAGAGGAGCGGAGTAGAACTCCAAGGAAAGGCACAGTACTTAATACCCAGGTGTCTGATGTAATTTCCCATCTATCTGCAAACATGGCTAAATGACCACCGATAGGGGAACTGTGAATGCAGTCAGCATTGGTGATGGAATGGGCGACTTCCTCCTCCTTGAAAGAGCTGCTTGCCTGAATATTGTTGTCTGCCCTTGTCTGCTCAATATGAAGGTGGATCAGGGTGTTGGTAAGGAGTCTTGGGGACCGATGAAACCTGGGTCCCGGCTCCATCCTGAAGGATGGGTGTCAATAGTATGGGGTAGGACTTTTGTAGAGGGTCAGAAGCATCTTCCTCTTGTTCTTGGACTCCACAAGGAATGGATCTAAGGCTTCACCAAACAGTCGGTCTCCTTGGACAGGAGTTGATACCACCTTCCATTTCCTCTTGCCATCCGCCCGCCAATTTCAAAGCCACCACATGCGTCTAGCTGCTACATAAGCAGCAATGGTCTCAGTAGCAAACCTGGCTCCATGCAGGGTGGCATCTGCTGTGAACTCAGCAGCTGCAACTAACTTGTTAATATCTTGATGTGCTCTGATATCAGAGACAGGAAGCCTGTCTTGTAGTTGTCTCAACCATCTAAGAGAGGCCCTGGTAAAAAAGGAAGCAGTTGTGGATGCTTTTACGGCCCAAGCAGCTGCCTGATGGTCCCTCTGCAAAGACTGCTCAATTCTCTTCTCATCGGTCTTGAGGATCCTTCCGGATCAGAAGGTGCAGATGAAGTGGAAGCCAAGGCTGATACAGGGGCATCTACTATGAGGATCTGGAGGCTCTTGGTGAATTCCAACCCCATATTAAAGAATCTACAGCCTGAAGACGATAGAAACAGGAATATCTAGCTGCTTATGTACCACCTTGAGAAAGAGCTTAGGGGATGGTACCACTTCCTTTCTGATGGTAGGTTCATCAAAAAGAGTACCAGATTCCCTATAAGACTGCTGGGATCTTCACCATCTGCATCTGGGCCCAAATTTGCTGTATTCCTGGCTTTGAAAAGCAGGTACTTAAACAGATTTGGGTGAAACAGGCCTGAAAAGGCAGGGATCTAAGGAGCCAGACCTTCGTCTTCCAAGAGGTCAGACTCACATTTATCTGCTTCCTGTACCAGGGAGGAAGGAGCATAAACTGAGGGAGCATAAACTGAAGGAGCTGGAGATTCCCATTCCTGTGATAAGGAACCCCTTTCTGAGAAATAAGCCACCTGTTCTCTAGATGGAAGCAGAGAAACTCTGAAGCCTCTGAAGAGTGATGCACAAATCTTTGAATGCCTTCAGCAATTCGCTTCCTGATAGCTCTATCTATCAAAACTGGAATCTCTGATTCAGCAGACTCAGAGGGCCTGAGGCCTGTAGCTGTAGAGGTAAAAGTAGCCTCCACTCCAGGCCTAGTGCCAGACTGCTCCTGCCAAGGTTCAGCACGAAATACCACTTATGGATGCCCTGAAGACCTGCTCTCTGCAGTAAGTTGTTGCACTGTGCTACTTTCAGCTACACCTGGAGACCAAGCCTGAGTTCTCTAGTCCTAGAAGAAGGGCCAGGCTCTTGTTCCAAAGGAACTTCCCCACTATGTTGAGAAGCAGAAGAGCCACCTTTGGATGGAGATCTGATGTTTCTTCCCCTTAAGGCCTTTTGGGTTTTGGCAATTTGCTTTCCTAGGGCCTTCTGACACCTAGATACATCCTTCTCCTCTACCTTTGAGGCCTTCTTCGGTGGTAAGACCTGCTTCCCTTGCTTGCTCTTTGGAATCAGAGCGGAGGAAGCTGTGCTATGGGTATCTGCTCTGGAGGCCCTACTCCCTCTAGGGGTGCCCGCCATTTTGAATGTAGGAGGCCTCTAGGAGTTTGCAAGCCTATGGAAGGAGGAGAAACACATGAGGGAAATCAAAAAGGGTAATTACCTTTCCTTGTCCTCACTGCTTCAGCCACTCCTCCTCTTCAGCCCTATTTTTACTTCAGCAGGATGTTTTAACACATCCTGCTGGGACTCAAACCCATTGGAGCCTAATAGGGCGTAAAACACAGACCAGGCCCGGCCTTGAGGTCTGTAGGGCCAGGTCTACATCGGAGAAAGGGACCAGTTCCCCACCGGAACTAAGCACCTCATCTTCGTAGTTTTCAGGATCCAGCAGCTACCAGAGGCCGATGGCCCAGCTCTGGTCCTTTTTCTGGGAGTGGCCTGGAGAACTGGGCTGACACCGCCCACCAAATTCAAGATAGCTGCCAGCCACGCAGTCCTCTTGCTTTACCACTGAGGCTGGAAACCGGCTCTGTGGCCTTTTCCTGTGCTCCAGTGTTGTTGGAGCAGCGTCTAAGCTGGCCACCTGACCACATGGCCTCCTTCTTCACTGCAGGAGCCCAAAAATGGCTCCGTGGCCTTGCCAGCTGCTCCGAACTGCCGGAACAGCAATCAGATGTTTCGTGGCTCTGCAAAACAGCTGATGATTGGAGCCACAATTTTTAAAGTTTTTTTTTTTTTCTTGTTTGAAGTTGCCTTTGCAAAGCAAAGGAGGAGAGGCAATCAACTACATCTGTCTTGGCTGAGGACTGAGTTGAAAGCTAGGAGTGGCCAGCCACAGGGGGCAGAGCTAAACTAATTACAGCAACCCCTTCCTGGCCTATTGCAGCCTTACAAGGAAGAACATAGATTTCCTCAGTAACTTGGAATCTACAATATAGATTGCAAGCACTGGAAAATCCTGCATTGGAAGTACCAAAGAATATAAATGGAAAGAAATTAATCACCACCCACAGGTAGTTTTCTAGCACTGCTTGAAAACTGAAGAACATGCTTTCCCCCTTCAGATAGACCTTCTAATATAATCAAGGAAGCTATTCATTAATTTGAAGCCTCTTGTGAAAAACCTTTAAAACTTTGCTTGAACAGATTACATGGCAGAGTAGGAATACAATCAGTATTTTCCAGGATTATGATTTCATGGCCTCAGTGGTATCCTGTATATAAGACTACAACATTTATTTGGCTTAATGTGCTTTCTGCACATTAAGTCAACACAGTTGAATGATCTTCTATTATTCTTTCAGAGACAGGTGGTAGAAAATATTAAGAAAATATTAAAAGGGCAGGCTACTGTTTGTCACAAATGCTGGCAAAAACCTTATTTATCATTATCTTTAAAAATACCCTGTCAATTGCATTAAACGTTAAGAAAGTTAATCTTCTAAAACTAAACTTACAAGAAAAAATCAATACATTACCCAACCCCAAATCTATGGCTTCACCTTGCTTTTTCCTGGAACACACTTGGCAATTTTATCCCAACGTTCCAGCATTCCCTTTGGATACTGTTGCAAAGCCAGCTCTAGAAGCTTCTGTTGATTCTGAGTCCATAAGTCATCTGAACTACGACATCTCTCTTTTTTCCTGACCTCATCATCACTATATTCCTCTTGTTCTGCAGTGTCAAAGTCCTTCTGGCGCTTCCCTCTATACTTGTCCTCTGTTGTCTCTTTTGTCCCTGGGAATATTGTTTCAGCAGCCTTTGGTATTGTTTTCCGCTTGCGATGTCGGGCTTCATTTAACCCAGTCTCTTGTTCATCTGTTGTGATCTTATTTATTGTTTCTGGATCGAAATTGTACTTTGACTTTTCCTCCTGGTCATCTTCTTCTTTATCCCGTTGAGTGATTATAAGATCAGGTAAGTTAATACTGACCTTGCTGGATCTTGAGCTTTGAGCCAAAGTTTTCAACTCTGAGAATTTAATAGTACCTATTGAAAAATCAGATTAACATGCGTATAATAAGAGAGAAGATGAGGGGAATCAATATTCCAAACAGATTTTTGTTTAAAGTATGCTTTATGAGTGTGTTGAACCAGCCTTGAAAATATCTGACACCTGTATTCAAAAATCAGACTTGAAGAACATAATAGATTAAATCCAGACTTAGTCAAATATAAGTCTGATTCCAAGCTAATAAAGTCAGGCTTTCATTTTTACTTGTATGTTTCCATGGTAGTCACACTTAGTTTAAACAATCCAGAAATAGCATCAATTAGGTACGATGTTAAGAGGTCTTCCGTTATATTCTGGCTCTTTTGTTAACATGCACTCCTCTATGCACTGATACACTGAAATGAATGAACTGCAGCGCTCCCATTGAAATGGAAGAATAATGCACTGCCACGGTGTTTAATCAATGGTACCCTTATTTATTTTAATTCATCTCTTGGTTCTCTGGAACAGATGTCACATATTTTTGTTTTCTTTACACTGCTGACAATTTGAGGCAGAGTTTCACATTATCCACTTAATGAAGGCATATATGCATAGAAGCTCCTTTTCTGCCTGTTATTTGTTTTCAAAAGAAGCAGCCAGTATGCTTAGTAATGGCTTAGTAATACCTAGGACCACCTTTTGTCCACCACTACTCTAGCCAATATGGATATTTACTCTCTAGCCTCTACAATCTTTTAAGTAGGAGTCAGAAATTCTGGAGGTTGCCACTTTCCCATGAGTGTAGAGGAGAACTCCACAACTTCCTAAAAGCTTTGGTTTTTTTTTTTTTAATGAATTACTAAAATTGATGGAATGAAAAATATTAAATACTTAAGAGGCAAGCAGTCATTGCCTATTATTCATTTTAAATATGACTGAAATAAAATTAAATATAGGTTTGATCCTCAATTCACCAGATTTTGAGGATTATCGGGCAATTCAGTCAAAGGCCAAGTGTAACCATCACGCCATAAAAAGAACCACTTTCCAGAAGATGGGCAGAGTGCTAGGCTAAGTGCCAAGAAACTAAGGCCCGTTATATTTTATTTTGCAAATAACACTGAATTAAGATATTAGTTGAAGACACGATCTTCAGTACATTTACAGTATATGCTTAGCCACAGAAGTGGAAACAATTGAAATATTATGTGTTGCAACTCTGTTTTGGAGGATTGCACAGAGCCATCCGGAGAATTTGGGGCTCATTTTTAAATGCTATTTTTAAGAATAGGAATAAGAAGTCTTTGAGAAATTATCACCTCTACCAATATCTCCATAATTTTCATTAAAAAGTCCCTATTTGGAAGTGGATTTTCTGGAAGTGTGATAGTTCCACAGTAGGAATGGGAACAGTTTGCCTTTCAAAATATTCTGCCCTGTTCTCATTCTTAAATTTCTAAATCCATCCTCCGAGGACACAACTGCCATGAAAACAGTGATTTCAGGGGTTTGTTTGTTGCGTGGCACATTGTTGCTAGAACAGGTAACAGCAGGCGGCATCTAGAAGGCAAACTAGTTCCATCTCCATGCTTATTTCTAAATGAGCTTCTACTCTACAGAGCCACCAAAATTTTGGCCATTTGACCATCAACATTTTGCCAATCTTGAAGAGCCACAATACAGCCTGTGCATTATAGTATTCTAAACTTGCTCTTCAGCAAAGCCACCCTACAAATTAATATACAACCCAAAGGGGGGCGGGGGGCATGCAACTGAAAATTCATGAGGAATGAAGAGAGAGAGAAAAACAAGTCCAGCTACTAATCTTTCAAGGCAAATAAATATTTTCTTTAACCATCCTGAGATATACAATGTAGGTACATTAGACATTACCTGGAGCACTTGAAACTGAATCTTTAATCTGCTTGGCCTTCATTGTAACCTGTTTGGGAAGAAAAAGAAGCCATTTGATTTTCAATAGTTTTGGTAAGAATTTTGAAAGATGTTTTTTGAAAGGATCAATCTAGTTCCATTTGAAAATTATCAGTAATAGGTATCCATGGTAAGGGGGACAAATGATCAAATGTGTGTCATGATATAAACTGTTCCTTTTGTACTTGCATTGTGATACTACAATTGCTCTGGATATTCATGTATCTTTCAGACTTGGATGATTGAGGTCACCCTTGTAAGGAAGTCCGGACAATAAGCACACCCAGAAGTAGACAAGAAGAACCTTTATTATGGTATTATATTAAAAGAACATCTCTCTCCATGGTCAAGAAAGATCTTTCTGACACGTTCATCACCACTTCATTGTTTCACCAGTGAACTAAGCTGCTTTTTATCTGATTATTTCCAGTCTGCAGTTCCTGCTCCTCTCTCCCACGTTCATTCCCACCTACCATTACAAATATGCTGTATATTGAATTTGATGGATACCTGCACATTAAAGAGACATACACTTGTGGCTAGCAACTCTAAAAACTCAAAATGTAATTATAATGCTTCAGCAAGCAGCTGAAATCAGCCCTTGATAATTTTTAAAGAAAGGTGTCATTAGTCTAGAACTAAATAACCATCCTGTGAATTGATCTGTTTATTCATAAAGTTTAAAATGCAGCCCTCAATATTGGAATATACCCAGTTTCTCATTTCTTACAATTTCTACAACAGAAGTGAGGAAATTGGTTTTTCAGATGATGCCTTTATAACCACGAGACAGAACCTGCTGGGGTCAATAGGAATTGGCATCCAATAGCAACTGGAACACCAATGTTCTAGAGACAATAAATTATTTGACAGATTATTATGCGTCCTAATACATTTTGGTCAGTGAATCTCTCTAGCCAGCATGCTGTTGGGAGAATTCTGGGAGTCCAAGTCCATACATCTTAACATTGTCAAGTTTGAAAAACACTGTTCTTCATACTTCTATATATACCCAGAGAAAGAGAGATCAGCACAGAAGAAACACTCTTGTCCATCATTTGTAAGGCCACTCTATTAGAGTCAGGAATGTTCTCCCCTATGCTCCCTCCAACTGTAAAGCATCCAACAGCAATTTTACACTGTCTAAAACTATTGTCAAGCAGCTGATATAATATGAAGACCAGATTGCTCTGGCTTAGAACTCTTCTTGTGCCTTGGAACCTTGTAAACACTCATTTGCTGAATTAGATGTTCTGAAATCTGATCATCCCTATTCAACTCTGCCTGGGACTGAAGAGAGTTCAGCAATAGTTATAAAACACAAGATAGAGCCATGGGCAGGAAAAGTCTGGTGAGTTAGGCATGTGAGTACAGAATTGAACTTGAGCCTCATAAACAAATGGTTTAGTGGTTTGGTCTGATGGATTATGAAGTAGACTCAAAGAACCACTCAGCTATGAAACTCCAAGTCACTCTCTTTTAGCCTTTGAGGGTTGTCATAAGAATAAAATTAGTGCTGGGTGAGTGGGAAGAGGAGGAAAAAAGTAAATATATTTCCTTGCAATAGATCAATGAATTACATTACATCAGATCTTCTCATATGTTCAAGATAAGCTTACATTTTCACTTGTCCTATTCCTGACACAATCCGGGTCAAGCATCTAAACTTGCCTTTCAAAAAAGAAAATAACACATCATTTGCAAGCCATAATATCCTGTAATGGGTCCTTTTTAAAATGACAGATGTATCTTTAAGTTACTCTGCTTTTCTTCAATACGATCAATATATCAATCTCTCTTTAGGGATCTCTTTGGCTAGAAAAAACTCCCTGAAGTCATAATAGTAATCCATCTAAGTATGTTTAACATAAATCCTGGACTGTTTGAATGTTAACACCTCCCCTCATGTCAAACTAACTGATAATGTTTTTTCTCCCTGTAACCCTCAAACTCAATGAGAGGTAAAATGGGATACTATTATAATTGTACCCGTTTACACTTAGAGCGGCAGGCATCAGCTAATTAGAAAAATGTGTTTCTGTCTATCCACCTGCCTATTTTTTCATGGCTTACTTGGGCCTTTTCCACACAGAAAGCAAATCCCCCATCCGTCTGCTATTGCAACCTGAATACAAGAGATTAGTGATAACAGAGACTACAGAATCGGTTTACCTCCGAGGAAATGATATTATTTCATGAGGGTGGAATTGTAGTGTTCTTTGCTGTCACTGCAGCTAATAACCATATTAAAATCTGTGTTTTTTTGCAGAGCAGTCTATTTTATTTTCACAATTTTTATTCCCTTTTACGTTTCTGAAAATAATGAACTGGATCCAGAAACCCATTTCCACATTCATAAAACATTTCCATCCTGCTTTACTTTCAGCAGCAGTTGTGTGCCTCTATTCCAGAAGAGCCTACAACCTTTGTACCGCCAAGGAGACCAAGAGAATCAGCAGGAAAAGACTACCATGCAGGTATAAAATCCTGCACATAGAAATTAGCCTGCACCAACATATACTACGCAAGATTATAACATACTTTATCTACCCTGTTTGATTTTCCTTTCAAAATTTCAGTACAATTTGTTGCAGAAATTCCATTTTTTTTTTTTAAAAAAAGGCTGGCAAATTAAGTAATACTTCAAGTTACCCACCTGAAAAAAGTAACAAAAATAAAGACAGGATTTGTTCATTATTTTTGTTAATTTTGTTCTCGTTATATTCAGTGACTATTCAAATTTACAATGGCGCTGAACAAGGGGGCATGTAAGGCCAGTCCTCAGAGTTCCAGTTGTTGACATTTGATTGTGATCCAGGTGCTGAATGTCTGGTTCATGATTACATTGTTACAATGATATGCAGTTGTATGATTGTGGTTTCTGGCATTGGTTGCTAGCTTCCCCAAAAGAAAATCAATAGGGAGACCAGAAAATCACTCCCACTACTTTTTTTTTGCCAACCTGCATTTTGTAATGCCTGCTCTGTGCTCCATTGCCTGTTTGTCTGGAATTCCTGCTCTCTTTCTGTTTAATGATCAGAGTCATTGGAGTTACAATGGCAATTGGGACTTCTGGGATTGCAGTCACTAAGCAATGTGGTTATGCGGTATTGTGCTTTCTGACTATATCACACAGCAACTAGAAACACTGACCCAATTTCCATCATAACCAAAGGACTACCTGTATTATTATTAGCATGCTGCCTTTTTTATATGTTTGGTCAACTCAAAGTGGCAATCATGCCTAATATACTGTTCTGACCAAGACTTCCTGAGACAGTAGCAATCCACCCTGTTCCCAAAAACCTTTTTTTTTTTTATTTCAATGGCTGTGAATTATATGCACTCAGTACCCACCTTTATCTCCCTTGAAATTCTGCCAACAACTAAATTGCCAATTAACTGTACAAGGCCAAACGGAGCACAAAGTCAACATGGAGCTTCAGAGTTTAAACCGACCAGAACGAACAAAGTTCATGTCCCTTTGCTCCTCCTTTATGTTTTATGGGAGGGGCAAATCCTCTCCAAGCCTTACTTCCGAGTCGCCCCTTTTGTCTTAACTGTTCTTGCCTTCTTACAGCTCTGCGCAAGCACGCACTGGGAACAGGCTCCCCCTGTTCCTCTGCCTCGCTGATATCAGATTCTGGAGGCTCCGGAGTCAGCACATAACTCTCAGGTGGCCTTGGCCCCATCTCTGTGTCAGACGCAGATCCCTTGTCTGGGCCCTCCCCAGACTGCAAGACTGGCCCATGTTCCTCCCCACTGTCCAATTCTGCTGCCAGCTCCACAGGCCGCTGGCGGACCATAACTAATACTAATACAGACAAGTTGCTCTGACATCCATAGTTATGAAAACCTTTGAAAGATTAATGCTGGCCCACCTGAAAACCATTATGGGCCCACTGTTAGATCCCTTGCAATTTGCCTTCTGAGCAAATAGATCAGCAGATGATGCTGTTAATATGACTCTGCACTTCATCCTACATCTTGAATCTCCAAAGACCTATGCAAGGGTTCTTTTTGTAGACTTCAAATCAGTATTCAATACTATCATACCAGATATTCTTCTAACTAAACTAAATCAGCTAGCGGTGCCTGACCACACTTGTAAGTGGATTATAAGCTTTCTAACAGAGAGGAAGTAGTAGGTGAAGCTAGGCAAAAATCACATCAGATACCTGTACAATTAGCACGGCACTCCCCCCCCCCCTGTACTCTCTTCACTTCTCTTCTCTTTATATACCAATGACTGCATCTCAAAGGATCCCTCTGTTAAAGTACTGAAGTTTGCAGATGATATAACAGTGATTGGTCTCATTCGAGACAACAATGAGTCTGGAATCTGCATATAGACAGGAGGTTGAACAATTAACCTTGTGGTGCAGACAGAAGAATCTTGAATTAAACACACTCAAAACTGTAGAAATGATAGTATATTTTAGGAGAAACCCTCCAATACTACCACCTCTTACAATACTAGATAACATATTATCAACAATTGAGACTTTCAAGTTTCTAGTTTCTATAATATCTCAAGACTTAAAAATAGATATCCAACAATCAAAAACTTCATCAAAAGAGCACAACAAAGAAATGTTCTTCCTGAGCCAATGCAGAAAGCTCGAACTGCCCAAGGAGCTGCTGATACAGTTCTACATAGGAATTATTGAGTCTGTCATCTGCACCTGTATAACTGTCTGGTTTGGCACTGCAACTAAACAAGACAAACACAGACTTCAACGGATAATTAGAACTGCAATAAAAACAATTGCTACCAACCTGCCTTCCATTGAGGAAGGCAGGTAGCTAGCTTGAGAGGAGCTAAAAAGAGGGCTGTGAAAATATCTACAGACCTCTCACACCCTAAACCTAAATTGTTCCAACTTCTATCCACAAAGCAACACTATGGGGCATTGTATGCCAGAACAACTAGACACAAGGACAGTTTTTCATCCCATGCCATCACTCTGCTAAACAACTAATTTCCACAACACCGTCAAACTATGTAGT